AAGACCGTGAAATGTCGATTCGTCGCCGTTCGCAGCAATTGGGTTTGTGTTATTCGACCACATGGAAGATTTTACGCAAAGATCTTGGTGTAAAACCGTATAAAATACAGCTCGTGCAAGAACTGAAGCCGAACGATCTGCCACAACGTCGAATTTTCAGTGAATGGGCCCTAGAAAAGTTGGCAGAAAATCCGCTTTTTTATCGACAAATTTTGTTCAGCGATGAGGCTCATTTCTGGTTGAATGGCTTCGTAAATAAGCAAAATTGCCGCATTTGGAGTGAAGAGCAACCAGAAGCCGTTCAAGAACTGCCCATGCATCCCGAAAAATGCACTGTTTGGTGTGGTTTGTACGCTGGTGGAATCATTGGACCGTATTTTTTCAAAGATGCTGTTGGACGCAACGTTACGGTGAATGGCGATCGCTATCGTTCGATGCTAACAAACTTTTTGTTGCCAAAAATGGAAGAACTGAACTTGGTTGACATGTGGTTTCAACAAGATGGCGCTACATGCCACACAGCTCGCGATTCTATGGCCATTTTGAGGGAAAACTTCGGAGAACAATTCATCTCAAGAAATGGACCGGTAAGTTGGCCACCAAGATCATGCGATTTGACGCCTTTAGACTATTATTTGTGGGGCTACGTCAAGTCTAAAGTCTACAGAAATAAGCCAGCAACTATTCCAGCTTTGGAAGACAACATTTCCGAAGAAATTCGGGCTATTCCGGCCGAAATGCTCGAAAAAGTTGCCCAAAATTGGACTTTCCGAATGGACCACCTAAGACGCAGCCGCGGTCAACATTTAAATGAAATTATCTTCAAAAAGTAAATGTCATGGACCAATCTAACGTTTCAAATAAAGAACCGATGAGATTTTGCAAATTTTATGCGTTTTTTTTTATCAAGCTCTTAAAAAATCACCCGTTATGTACTGTGTGTTTAATTTTGCATAAAAAGTTAATAATATCCAGTGATTTATTAAGCTTTGAAATATGAGCGAGTCATAATTAAAATCCAAATGTCTAAAATAAAAGTGATGATTTCCTACTAATTACGGCTATAATATTTATTGCGGTATTCGTGCATAATAAAAATTATAAAAAAAGGTTTAAACAATAAAAAATTTGAATTGAAAAAAATCTCATTATCACTTTTTTACTATTTGGGAATATGAATTTATAATTTGTTATTATTTCCTATTTAAATAAAATTTTTATACATAAGAGATATTTGTAGTATGTTCATGCCAAGGCATATTGAATTTATTTGGTCTTTAAAATACTAAATATTGTAAATATTTTCACAAAAATTCTGAATTGTCAAAATTTTGTTTCGTGTGAAACCTTGCTTTTATTAAAAAGAAGTGATAGGAAAGCAGCTTTTGGAACGTTCCCCTAACTCAGCAGCACAATTGCCCTGTGCACGAAAATGAAATTTTTTGTTTATAAGCCGACGACCTACACACCT